CATAGATAATAAAGAAAAAAAATATGTGATCATGGTCACCTACATGCTGATGAGAAAAAGACAGCTCTGAATTCAAAGCTCTAAAGTAGGAAACCACTCTACTAGATTTCCCCCAAAATAATGACAATTCTCAGATAATCAAGAAAAAGAATTTATACACTGCCATGATTGCCTACATTTTGAAAAAAGAAAGATAACTCTGAATTCAAAGCAATGGAGAAGACAATGGGAAACCTGGAGACTAAAGAGTATATTGAAAATATTTTCCCTTTTACATTCACAAGAAGCCTCTCATGTAATGCGATAATAAGGTATCTTTCAATGCTTCTAGTGATCAGGTTTTCTTCTATATTTCATTTGAAAGTATCATAATCAACAACTGATGGTCACCCAATTCTGATCTTTATTTCAAGGTACCAGTCAAACCCTTAAAATGCTTTAAACAAGTTCTTCATAGAAAATTCTTTTCTCAAAATACTTTCTCAAATTTAAAAAGAAAATGCATAGAAAAGTGCACTGATCTCACAATTGTCTGCAGTTAACCTCAGACCAGGCTCATACACAGTATTGCTGATCATTACAAAAATCTTAGTAGGAAAATGAACTATTAATACTTTTTAGAACTCAATATGAACTAATCAAGAAAAAACAGAGATCTACTCAGAGTGGGCAAAGTGCAAATCCTGCAGACATTAATGGTTTCAATACAAGAAGGAAAAATCTTCAAAATTTATACACAGGTTTGTCTCTTATTATTACCTTAATGCACCTACTTTACAAGGTCTGATCAAAAAGTATTAGGACTGATGATATAAAAAGAAACTACAACACACATCAATTCAGCATTTAATCTCCTTCAAAGTAGTTCCCTTCTGCAGCCACATACTTTATCTAGTGTTGTTTCCATTGATGGAAGAACTCCTCGAACTCCTTTGTTGGGATAGCAAGCATCTGCCTCATCACATTCTCTTAGATTTCTTCGAAATCTTATTCCTTTCAAGTGAGATTTAATTTTTGAAAAGTAAAAATTGCAAGGGGATTAAATCTGGGGAATATAGTGGTTGTTAAACCTGGAGAATGTTATGATTGGCCAAAAACTTCTGCACAAGCCATAGTCATCAATAGAACCCCTGTGGTGTAGATAGACAATGACATGCTACATGCTTTCCTTCAAAGCACTGCTATAGACAACTAAAGTAAGCAAGAATGTTATAATTTAGTATATATGTGCAACAGAGTTCAAACTCAATCTGTGCCAAGTAGCTTCATTCTGCACACTTTAGCTCCATTAGCATAGCAACAGTCCGTATAATTCTTCACCAGACCTCATATATACTTGGATAACTCTTCCACTTTCTCTCAATATAACCTCATATATTATAATGATATTAATAATATAGTGGAATCTTAGATAGTCTTTAGATGTGTACATGAAATAAGCTTTAGAATAAAGGGCTGTAAAGAGTAAAATATTTGTGATACACCTTAATAGATAAGAATATAATATAATCATAGCTAACCATTGGATGTGTACATGAAATAAGCTTAAAGATAAAGGGTTGTAAAAAAAATGAAAATACTTTTGATGCACTCTAATATATAATGATAATATTAATAATGTAATATAATCATAGCTAATCATTGGATGTGTACATGAAATAAGCTTTAGAGTAAAGGGCTGTAAAAAATTAAAATATTTGATTCATTCTAAAAAAACAACAAAACTGAAGATGATAAAGTGTATGTTATATTCCATGATAATAGGGATATATACTTGAAAAACAAGGTGGATAAAATAAGTAAAGGTTTATTGTAAAAAACCAGTACAATAAGAATAAAGGTAACAGTTATGCACAAAGGTTATCACAAGTGAATCCAGTAGTGAGTGCTACTATTGGAAGGTCGGTAGTTCTCACGTAAGTCTGAATTGTACTCAACAGATCCCAGCTAGTATATTTAGATACCCCCCCACAAGGGTTGCATGTGACACAAGGCTGGTTTAACGTGGGTTTTCCAAGCCTGTAGGCTTGGCCAAAAATATTCCCTTTCAAACCTGCATAAACGGGTTCAGGGGCAGAACAAGACTCTTCCCTTCAGCAGAGCCTCGTCTGGGTTCCTCTCTGCTCAGAGGCAGAGAGTCTGACTGTTTAGCTGGAACAAGTCGCAGCTAGTGATATTTAGCTACTCCACAACAAGGGTTACATGTGGCACAAGGCCAGGTTTAATGTGGGTTCTCCAAGCCCATAGGCTCGGCCAAAATATTCCCTTTTTGAACCTGCATAAACGGGTTATGGGGCAGTCTACCTCCCCAAACGAGACTCTGCCCTTCGACGGAGCCTCGTCCGGGTTCCTCTCCACCCGAAGGCAGAGAGTTTGTCTAGCTGGAACAGATTCCAGCTAGTCTCTGTAGTCCGTTGACTTACACATACTTATAGGTAATAACTACCTATAGTGTAGTCACTCATGGGGGTGACAGGTTATTCCATTACATCAGTGTATTACTGAAATATTTTATTTCCAATTTCTTGGACTGGACTGATGAATATCTTTGGAATCATAACTACATTTAAGCAATCCAACATTTTTTATTATTTATTTATTTATGAATCTGCCCTTTGCATAAAATAAACTCATTCCTACATATTTGCTTATTCAACACTATCAAAAAATATTTGTATTGAATCATCATTCATATTCTTTATTTGTTATAATTCAAGTTTTTTATTGAAAACTTTACTCCAGTTACATTGACTTCAGTACTTAAGAAAGTAAAACTTTGAAATGCATACATAGCATCAAACATGGTGGCCAATATTTATTTATATGTAAATATATTTATATATTTATTGCTGAAAGATCTTATATAACAAAGTAATTTTTATTTTGTATTTTGGGAATACATGGATAGAACCTTTTAAGATATTAAGGGAACTTAAGAACACAACCGAAAAAGGCTTCTTTTTAAAATGTTGATTGTATATTCTTATGGGAAATCTATGAAAGAAACAAGCAAATATGTCAGTCTAAATATATGAGATTACTTCTTTAGGTTTTTCTATCAAGTCAAACAGTTACAAGAATCTTTTCATCATCTTTGTTTGATAAGAAAATTTACCATTTATACTGGAGATAAAATTTATATCAATTTTGTCATCTCTTTTGCCATTGAAACAGTCCAAGGAAAAACTCCATTTTTTTTTTTTTTTTTTTGCATAGAAATCAAATAGAATTTTACAAATCAAAATTACAATATTGCTTTTTCGCAATATGTAACCTCAAAATTTAATAAAAATTTAGGACAAAACTATGCACATTGAAGTTCTGTCCAACAGAATGGTTTGAATAACTTGGAAATGACTGTAATGGAATTGTAGAATTCTCAATGTGCTTGTGAAAATTCTTTATAATTCTTTAAGACAAAGTGCCATCTTTTTCTTCTTCTATGTATTACAGAAGCAGTTTTAAGGTGCTACATTTTTTTTCAATTTGTATCTTCCTTCTTATTATTCTATGTGCCATGTCCGTTCATGGCTTTTCAGAATTTCCTGTCATTTGTAATAAATTTTGTCTTTTTGTTATCTCTCCTAAACCTTGTTCTGCCATCTTTTTACTCAAGCTCACTAGGTAAGTTATGCATTGTTTTCCTCTGTCCCTCTTGCCTTCAATCCAAATTGTTAAGATTATGCCAACCGATAATAAATCCTGGTAGGGCCTCCAGCTCACTTAAGATATCCTTACTGTAGAGGTTGAATAAATTTAAAAAAATAACACTTATACAAAATAACTCTTTTACAAACATGCAGGAAAAAAAAGTAGATAAAACCCAGAAAGTTAGCTGACACTTAACATCACAACTTCTTATAAAGGGATTTACTCTCTCTCACCTTTGGGAAAAGTCATGTACTTTGCACATCCACAAAATCAGGATGGGGAACACACATCCACATGTGTAAGATAGATTCTGGTAAAAAAAATTGTCTAACATGACACAGTGAATCAACTTTCTTAGCATCAAGCTTAGAAATATAAGTCTATAATTCATTCAGGTATTGAATATTCCTGCCACATCTGGTCTGGTCCCTCTGCTATATATTTAGAGAATCTACATAAAATCCAAAGAAGAATCTGCAATGTTATCAGTCCTGAACTGGCATCTCAGATTCAGTCACTTTCCCACTGCCATAACATAGCTTCCCTCTACCTTTTCTATAAATATTTTCATGGTAATTGTTCTGAGGAACTTTCCACTATAATACCTAAACTTTATAAATTTAAGTGCAGTACTAGATTGGTGGCAAGGTCTCACCATTTTACAGTTCAAATAGCTAGATGTAAACATAAGCTCTATGCTAACAGTTTCTCCTCTCACACTTCTTACTAATGGAATACTTTTCTGGCATCTTTCTTTCCAGTCAACTTTGATCTTCAAAAATTTAAATGCAATGTCAATCATTATCTTCTGTTTTCTTAATTCTTGTTCTTTTATTATTCTATCTCTTTAGTAATGTTGTTTTTCTCATAATCTCTTACACTCAGCAACTACTTGAGTCTTAGTGGCCTTATTACCTTACTTTGGGGTGAAATGATTAAAAAAAGTAAAATTGAAAGCAAGCTTCACAATTTGGTTGATCCAACTTCTGAAAAACAGTTCAAATATTGGAACAGAATTATGTTACAGCAATTGATTGGATTTCTACAGCAAAACAAATTGCAAACTGTTGTAATCTAGAAAAGGTTACTGACTGAGGAATAACAAAAATGGAGGTTGGAAATGAAATGGTAATCTTTATAATATCAACAAAATACAATACTCGCCAGCAGCATGAAGAAGGTAAACCACTGCTAGTGATGGACAACTTAGACAGCCTATTATCCCCACCACACACACACTTACAATAGTGACCAAGGTATTTCTGAGGATTGGGGCATACACATCAGTGTTCATACATACAGTATATAATACTATCTATCTGTCTATCTCTCTATTACAGCACATTCATATGTATCTCTCTATCTATCTCAATCACTTTATTATCTATCTATCTATTACAGCACATTCATATCTATCTATCTATCTATCTATCTATCTATTTGTTGTAATCTACAAAAGGTTACTGAATGAGGAATAACCAAAATGGAGGTTGGAAATGAAATGTTAATCTTTATAACATCAACAAAATACAATACTCGCCAGCAGCATGAAGTAGGTAAATCACTGCTAATGGTGGACTATTTAGACAGCATATTACCCTCACTTACAGTAGTGTCCCATGTATTTATGAGGATTAGTGTTTATAGGTACGGTATATAACACAAACATTATGACAAAACATGGTGTTTGCAAACAACTTATCCTATTTGAAAAGAGGTTTTCATATTACCAATTCCTAATGACCATATTTCTATAGGACTGTATTCAAACATAATTAGTTTGCAAAAATTACTAATGAACTTTTACAAAAGAGGGAAACAAAAAAGGAATATATATATATATATAAGATTATGCAGATGACACAGTGTTGATAGCAAACATGGAAAGGAAACTACAAAAGCTTCTACAGAAGGTAGCAAAGTAAAGCAAGAAGAAAAGGACTAAATATAAACTACACAGATTGTATGGTTATCATTTAAAGGATGTGCCCAAAATGAAAAATTACAAATCAGGGATACAAGTACAGAAATTTAAATATTTGGGAAATGTTATCCAAAGACGTATTGGAATGACCAAAAATGCATTCCAAAACCTAAGCAGAGTATTAAGTGACAGAAAATGTTGTTAAAAACAAAGAAAAGCCTATTGAACTGTTATGTGATAGCTTTCCCTCTGTATGGCAGCAAATGCTGGACAATCTCCTCAAACATGAAGAAGAGACTTGAAGCAACAGAAATGTAGTTCTACAGAAAGATACTGAGGATACCATGGACCAAACATGTGAGCAATGACAAGGTTTTGGAGACAATGAAAGCCAAAAGGAATCTTATACTTAACATCAGGAAAAAGCAGTTGAAATTTCTAGGGCCATATAATGAGGAAGGCATGCTTGGAAATCCTGATACTCACAGGAAAGATTGAGAGAAAGAGGAAAGAAGCACGTAACATACTTGATGAGCTTGAGAGCAAATGGAATGCAGAATAGGGTTTGGGAGAAATAGCAAACAAAACTTATTAAGATCTACAAGAGACAGGAAGATGTGGGGGGCCATGATCACCTTACCTCCTGAAGGGACACAGCACATAAAAGAAGAATATCACTTCTTAACCTTATAGACAAAGGATATATATATATATATCTATAAAGAAGATATTCCAGTGTCAGAATAATATTGGATATGTTAATGCTGCTTCTCAACATTATAGACAATAATCTATGCACACTTTACTTATGCTGAATCTAAACTGAGGAATATAGCAGCTGCTGTTCCAAAAGTTTTCTTCTTTTATACTTATTCATTATAGCAAAAGCACATTGTTAACATCATGGTACACATCATCAACATACAAAACAGTTCTTATCTGTATTTAGAATTCAGTATTAAGAATTAGTATTCAATAAACTGGATGTGTTGGTAGAGTAATTTTTTTTTTTTTTAAATAGCTCAAATTTATATTTACTATCCAGCACAAGTATTGAACCAAGAACTTTCAGCTGATGTAAACTTGTGCTTTAATAAGTTGGCCTGTTCTATCTGGAGTTGAAATGGGTTCTGCCCATTGGGTTTCATATGAATTTAAGGTCTTTCCACTGGTAAATGCCTATAAATCTATTTGCTCAGTGAAGTTATATCAGATAAGCTCAACACTTTCATTATGCACCCAAAGACTCATTTGTCAATTTATTGTCTTGTATCTTGTCAAATAAAGTGTTATATTTTGATATTTGTTAAGAAAAGCATTTGTTCGTTGGCTTAATAGTCATAATAGTGCCAAGCATTTAGATATTGACAAAGATTCTTTTTGGTCAATCTTTAGCTTTCAAATCTTTATAACTATTATAACTTTATAAACCACCTTAATCTTTATAACTAGCTGTTTATATTATGTGCCATGATGCTCACTAGGGGGCATTAAGTGGATCAATAATTATGTAACCTGAAAGGGAACTTTTCATTCTACTTTATTAATATTTAACAGTTAAGTGCTTAGACAAGGAAGGCAATTATACTAAAAAATTAATATTTGCTGTGTAAAATAAAAAAATTTTTTCATCTTTAATATATGTGGGTAAATCAATACTTCTGTAAGTATTGATTTACCTACATATATGCAAGTTTGTTCCAACAGTTCAAATACAAGTAAACTGACTAAAAAAAGGCACAAACCCAAATTCTCATGCCCATTTGTCATATTGAAGTTATCCTAACATGAGAACATTGGTGCTAAATGCGATGTTCAAGCTCAACTCATTTTACCTCATGTCTTAATGTTTTTTTGTTTTTTTGTCAATTCAGTTGGGCTTTTTCAGTTGCATTTATTAATTGATATTTTTTTTAATTACAGAGGCAAGATGCTCGAATTATTGTTGGTGTGTTTTACGAAGACATGGCCAGAAGAGTGTTCTGTCAGGTAAGCAGCACCTTATTTTTATTTTTCAAAGGATATGTTTTCTTGCAGTAATGGTAATATTAGCCATTTCCTTATAAGGAAACATTTGACATTCATGGACCAGGTAGCCACTACTACTTGAGTTATGCTTTTATTCACTCCCTTGCCACCAGGTTGGGATCAAAGTGTTGTATCTGTTCTCTTCATCTCTAATGATAAAAGTAATGTTAGATGTTTCCTTATAAGGCAACATTTGGCATTCATGGATGAAATAGCTCATGCTATTTAAATTATGCTTTTCTTCACACCCTGGTCATGTGGCTGGGATCAAAGTGTAGTATCTGTTCCAATGGTAAGAATACTTGCAAATAGCATTCATAAAACATTTTCAGTTTTTAAGAGTGTCATTTTGCATTAAAAGAATCTTCAAAATTATCAATTTTATAAATATATATCCATGCCTATAAATGTCATATACATGAAGAAAGTATGGATTGGCAAATCCAAATTATCATATTTCATCCTCCTTAAAGATTTTTTGTGATGTCAACAAACACTCGTTGACACTTTTGTAAGGTCAACAAATACTCGTTGTCACTTTCATAATGTTCATTTTGTAATTCCAGATACAACTATAGTAACGTTGTTAAACAATACTGATGTCAGATGCCTTCGAGTAACACTCACACTGATAGTACTGGCTTGAGAATACTCGCTTAAAATGTAACCACCAAATAGTGATCAGTATAGAGAAATAGTACATAGTAAATAGTATAGAGATAGAGGATAGTGTAGAAAGAGTGATCCGTATAATAATAGAGGATAGAATGAAAATGGTGATCAATTAGATGACATACTAATTCCCATATATATAAATCCTTTACCATCACATGATCTACTTATTCAAAATGGGATCATTGTGTTTGCTCTCTGGTGATCTATGTTCCAACTCCAGTGTCGGCAACAACACTTTATTCCTATATAACAAGACTATAGGAAATATACCATTATTCTGGGTATACAAGAGTCTTCATAAAGAAAATAAAAGTGTGCCAGGTTCAACTGTGGGTTCTCCTAAAAGAGAGATGCAAGTTCAAACACTGAGAAAAGGCACATTTTTTTTTAAGACTCTTGAATACACAGGCTCCGAAATTTACAACTCAAATACACATACCCACCAAATATAACATTTAAGATAATAAAAAATAATGTCAGCTTAAAAATGAAATCCATTAACCCCTTTACAGATTACTTTGTTTACGTTTCAGATACATAAATGGAATTAGCAGATATGGGCTTTGAGGGATCTTTTTTTTTAATTAATGATGATAGAAATTTAATATTGCTTTGAATTTTTATTATATAGCTTGTCATTCAGACCAACAGACTCATCATGATTTTTATACTTACAATGTTTCGATCATTGTACTCTCTGGCCTTCTTCAAATGTCAGTCTTATTATACACCATGTTATTTAAACTAACATGCTCATCTTGGTTATTATACTTACATTGCTGTGACCATTGTACCCTCCCATCCTTCTACGGGTGTCTGTCTTATGATGTTTTACCATTTGGATCAGCATGCTCACCTTGGTTGTTATACTCACAATATTTCAGCCATTGTACACTCAAGCGATCTTCAGGTATCTGTCTTATTATATACCTTGAGATTTGGACTAACATGCACATCTTGGGTATTAACCTAACAATGTTTCAACCATTGTAGCCTTCTTTAGGTGTCGATCTTTGTACTCAGTAACCTTCTTGGAATTTTAAAGTGATAATAAATCCATGTGGGTAGTTTGTGCTTATTCTGCTTTCCATGCTTAAGGAATATTTCACATTAGTCAAGACTCACTGGTTTTTATCACTTTTATATTGCTTGTCTGTTTCTTTCATTGAACCAAACTATGTGACTTTTCAGCACTACCAGATCTGGAGATTGAACTCACAACTATAAGGGAATCAGATATGTTTTTACCAACATTTTAATTCACAAGGCCATATGACTTGTGTTCCAGATCTAAAAACCACTATGAGCATGCTGGTACAAATAACATATCATATAATAATGATTATTCCTTATCTTTAAATTTCTAATTTTGAAAAAAAAATTCCCTGAAGTATTTTGAGACTATTACATTTTTTTGTATTGTTTTTTTCTTGAACGTCCTGATATTTCAAATAAAAGAGACAGCATGAGATTGGAGAAGAATGTTTCAAAAATATCAGTGACCTAGTAACACAAATATGTCAGAAGTGCTCACCTTAACTGCCACCATTTAAAAGACAAAGATGGGCTTAATTTTAGGTCAACTCAGTGCATCCAGTTGCAAGCCAAAAAAAAAAAGAAAATACGATTAAAAAATCATAAAATTATTTTCTGACCAATCAGAAAAGATCCACACACCTCCACCCAAGAACTAACTCTCAAGCTTCTCCAACACTATAATCTGCCACCAGTTCCAGTCCAGACAGAAGGCTATGATAGCCACTTCCCTGCCTCTTACCCATTATGGCCAAGCACTTGCTGAAGACATTTATCCCCTGAAACCTGGTTACTACAACCAAACGCAGTTATGAAGATGCCACAAATCAAATGTAAACAGTAGTAACTGTGGTCATAATATGATGAAAACCTCTACCTCTTCATCTTCTTCTATGTGAATTATCGCTCTCCACAACTTCCTTTATAGCTCTGAAAAAATTTTGCTTTTTACCATTTCTCCAAAACCCTGCTCCGCTACCGCTCATTTACCAGATAGGTTATGTGTTGTTTTTTCTCTCTCCCTCTTGCCTTTGATCTGTCCTGTGAGTATTAAATTTTCCAAGCCCTCTTTCCTCATTATGTGCCCTAGAAATTTCAACTTTTTTTGATGTTAAGTATGTGTCATTTTTTTCTTTTGTCTCTAGAACTTTATCATTGTTCACATGTTCAGTCCTTAGTATTCTCAGCATATTTCTATAGAACCAAATTTCTGTTGTTTCAAGTTTCTTCTTCATCTGTGAGGAGATTGTCCAGCATTCACTGCCATATAGGAGGACTGATATTACAGTGTGATAATGTCTATACACAGATATATTTCCTTCATGTGATCTACAACTACAATACAATACCAAATACTATGTATGTAGTAGAATCCCAAGGTGAACTCTCTAATTGTTTTTGTATCCCCCAACCTCCTGAATTATATATGGAAAACATATAAATCCTCCTTTTTATTTTAACAACACTTCATTTCCATTGTAGTGTGTTATCTCATTCTTTTTTGGTTATGGTACCTGTTATATAGGAATAACGTTTCACTGCCGACATTGTAGTTTGAACATAGATCATCAGTGAACAAACATGGATGATCCCATTTTGAATAAGTAGATCACATGATGTAAAGGAAATTTATATATGGGAATTAACATGATGCCTAAATGATCACTATTTCTATTCTATCCTCTATTACTTATGGATCATTCTTTCTACACTATCCTCTATCTCGGTATTATTCACTATACTATTTCTCTATACTGATCACATTTCAGTACTCTTTTTTATGTTTTTGTTGCTTCAAGTCTATTTTTCTGTACTGATTGTTATATAAATTACTATTTGGTGGTTACATTTCGAGTGAGTATTATCAAGCAAGGGCTATTAGTGTAAGTGTTATTCAAAGGCATCTGACACCAGTATTGTTCAACGGCATTACTATAGTTATATCTGCGATTACAACGAGCATTATGAAAGTGACAATGAGTATTCATTGACATCACAAAAGTACCCTAGATGACACCCAACAAGGCCTTTTATAAGTATTAGTACTGTAGCTCTGATAACAGATACAATAAGCCACTGGTGGGATACTTAGTGCAGTGTATATATTTAGAGATGCAGGGATTAGATAAATTAATCTCTGGGTTAATTCTGTTTTTGTCTTTTTGTTTTTTTTTTATTTCAGGCTTATAAGGAAAAGTTATATGGAAAGAAGTATGTATGGTTTATCATTGGTTGGTACCCAGACAATTGGTATATGGCTAATGATGATTCAATCAACTGTACTGCTGACCAGTTGAAAGAAGCACTGGAAGGACATTTTACAACAGAAGCCATGATTCTTAACCAACAAGCCACAAAAACTGTTTCAGATATGGTAAGTCATTTTATTTATGAACTTATGCTTGTACATTTTTTTTATGTCCCTTCAGGACATGCAAAATTTATGGCTTTTTACAACTTCCTATCCTTTGTAGTCCTTAGTAATGTTTATCTTTTTACCATCCCTTGCACACCCCAATTCCGCTATCCATTCACACAGGTAGGTGATTCACTGCCACACCCTATCCCTTTTGTCTTCAGTATATGAGTGCCAAATTCTCCAAACTGTCTTTCCTCATTATGTACGCTAGAAATTTCAGCTCTCCTTTTCTTATTGTTTCCATTTTACTTAAGATTTTCTTGTTGCTTACACATTCTGTGTGATTCTCAGCATCCTTCTGTAGAACCACATTTCTGCTGGGTTGAAAAGGCAAGAAAACCAAATCATAACCATGATCTTAGCACCAATTGATGTCAAAAAATGTTTGTTGGATGTGTAAGAATAATTTGTTTTTTGGCATGTGAATATTGCATTAACAAAGTTTGAGAGGTTCAATGATTTTTCTCAGATACAACTCCTATTATTTAATCCATACATGAGGTAAAGAGATGGCTCTTTCCTCTGTCAATGTATCTATCTATCTATAGATAGATAGATAGAAAAATGTGACCTGCAGACATTGTGGACTATCACTTAAGGCTTGAAACTAACAATTACCATACAATGTTGATTTCTGTGTTCATAATATTGATCACTCTTCTCCTATAAATATGGCAAATTTTAACAATATAATTATATATATATATATATATATATATATATATATATATATATTTCAAATCTATTTTCTTGCCTTATATAATTTATCTGAAAATTATAACATAAATATGTTATAAAATTACTACAAAAATATATATATATATATATATATATATATATATATAAAGCGTGTATCAAAAATACTTTTACAAACTTTGGTAGGGGTGTTCTTCAGACCAAAACACTGACAAAAGTCCATATAAACATATGTTCACAAATCCTTCTTTCTTGAGTTATTAACTTTAAAGAACGTTTACGGTAGATGGCACTGTGTTGCCATGTAGACTAGGTTATGTTTGCCATTCGTGTACATTTGTCACTAGTCTGTGTTTAACCTGTGTAATAATGAGTTAACCGAGAAGTGTTCCATTTAAGAATAGCAGGATATTTATCTCCTGAGCAGGTAGGTATGATTTTGACATATGGCCATGAATATGGTAATGGATGCAAGGCTGCATGGTTGTATCAGACTGCATTTCCAAACTGAAGGCAGCCAAGTCATCCAACCTTTTATCATCTCATTGCTGAAACAGGATCCATGGCGCCACACACTATGGATTGAGGAAGACCCAGATCCATTTTGTATGTCGGATCATGAAGAAAACATTCTATAAGCTGTCAGAGATGATTCAAGTATCAGCACTTGTCAAGTGGTCCTAGCATGTCGTACATCTCATTGTACTGCATGGAGGGTACTTCCAGAGTAGCTCCTGTATTTGTTTTATTTACATGTGTAGGGTCTTTCAACTCCTGATAACTCACCACAAAAGAACTTTTGCTGATGGTTTATTGCACAAACTTCTGATCCATTGTTTGTCTCTTCAGTCTTGTTTACGGATGAGGCAACATTTGGAAGAGATGGAATTAGAAATTTACACAACCAACATTTGTGGGTGGATCGGAATCCCCATGATGCAATACAGGGTAGACACCAGAATCAGTTTACAATTAATGTGTGGGCTGGAATTGTAGGTAACTGTCTGGTAGGTCCATATGTTCTTCCAGCACGTCTTATAGGAGTGGTGTACAGAGACTTTATTTTGAACACTCTTCCAGACCTGTTAGAGGATGTAACCATGTGGTTCATGCATTTTAATCACATTGTTCATGATGCACAGGCTGACATCTACCATGAAAAATGGATAGGTAGGGAAGGACTGGTTCTATGGCCTGAATGTTCCATCAGCCTCAATCCTTTAGATTTTTAGCTATGGAGAAACCTAAGACAATTGGTTTATGAAGCAGCAATCAATAATACAGAGACACTTCATCAAAGTATCATGGGGCTTGGGAAACCATTCAACACTGTGTGAGATTATTTGAAAGTATCTGCAAGTCAATGATCCAATAGTTTCATGCATGTACAGAAGCAAGAAAAGGACATTATTTACTTTATTCGGACTATTGTCCTCATTTTTGTTGCCATATTTATTACGTTTCAGCCGGTGTATGCTTCGGCCTTCTTCAGGTGGTTGAAATGTCAAACTGAACCCTTTATTTCGCTCACTAGGGTAGACTGTTCTAGTTCCATGTGCCATGTTTGATGGATGTCAGTTATCAGTTATCTCCTGATAATTTCCCTCTGACATTCCAACCACCTGAAGAAGGCCGGAGCATAAAATGGCCGAAACGTTGTAATAAATATGGCGACAAAGATGAGGACAATCATCCGAATAATGTACATAATGTACATAATACCTCATCTCAGAAATATAGACAGACTCCAAGAAAAGGACATTTTAAACATTTGTTTATATGGACATTTTACCATGTTTTGGTGTCAGGAACCCACCTCCAAACTTTTTAAAAACATTTTTGATACACCCTGTATATATATGCATATATGTGGACACTGAGATCAACACTGAACACGTCCTGGGTATGATGATAAACTGCATCTGCATCCTGGGAAAGACGATAAACTACATCCAGCAGCAAGGCCTCTGATCAGGAGGCTTTGAGGAGTGTGGAACCACCTCTTAATTGCTGGTGTTCCCAGGTCCACCCTGACCCGGGGTGGTAGCACCTGTTAGGGTCCCGGCTATGAGCAAATAGATAACACCCAGACTATATCTGCATCCTGGGTATGACAATAAAATACATCCATGACTTGAGTATGGCAATAAAATACATCTGCGTCCTGGGTATGACGATAAACTACATCCAACAGCAAGGCCTCTGATAATGCGTTTTTGAAAAAATAATGTTGCCGATTGTACGTTTTTGAAAAAATATTACCAGCTATATGTTTTTTTTTTAAAGAATAGTGTTGCCGGCTATACGTTTTGAAAAAATAATATTACCAGCTATACATTTTTGAGGAAAAAAATATTAACAGAAATAGATTTCTGACAAAACAAAAATATTACCAGGAAAAAAAAAAGAAAGTTGTCTGCATTAAATTACCCATTGAGGTTGATGTGATGTAAAACAAAACAAACCAAACCAAACCAACACTGAACAGTTAAAGTCTGTTTCATGCTTAAATGCAATCTTCTGACCATGTTTGTTGCGTTTTGGTTTGACTATTTACATATGCTGGTTAATGACACATTATGGGTAGCAAGATATACTGTCTTATCCTAAAGGTTGTTAGGTATGCAGTAACAGTTATCTTTCAAATTAATCTACAGAATATTGAGTAGAAATAATTGTGAATCCAAATGCAGTTATTTGTAGCTATTGTATAGTGTTATTTGCTGAAGTGATTAAGTACCTTACATCCCATGATCTGCTCTCTGACAAGCAATACAGTTTCCACTTTGCCTGATCTACCACTGATGTGCTCATGGCCATTACTGAATTTGTTTACCAAGCACTTCACAATAATGGAGAAGCTCGAGCTGTGGCTCTTGATATCTCTAAAGCATTTGATAGGGTTTGGCATGTCGGCCTTCTTTGTAAGCTTCAGGGATACAGAATTTCAGGACATTCATTTGACTTAATACAATAATTCCTATCAAACTGTGAAATGAAGGTCATCTTAAATGGGTTCTCCTCCACTTTCTTTCTCACAAACACTGGTGTTCCCCCAAGGCTCTATCCTGGGTCCTACACTGTTTCTGATCTTCATTAATGATCTTCCTGATGTCATCAGTTCCCAAGTAGGCATCTATGCAGATAACACTAATATTTACTCCTGCCTCAATAGCCAATCTGGTATCACTGACAAAACTAACCTGGCCGATGGTCTTGAAAAGGACCTCTAATCTGTGGTTGACTAGGGCAGGAAATGGCTGGTAAACTTTAATGCCTCAAAAACAAAACTGCACTCATTTACCCACCACAGAGAACCCTTCTTGCCTCCTATTAGAATGTTTGATGCTCAACTCCACAAGAGCACCTCTCTGCTCCTGCTTGATCTCACACTGTCTGCTGACCTAAGATGGAATAAATACATTGAATCAATAGCTTCATCTTCTGCAAGGAAAGTTGGTTCTCTGTATTGTGCCCAAAATTTTTCTTTGCCTGAGTCCATCCTTCAGGTCTATAAATCAACCAACCACCCTTGCATTAAATACTGCTGCCATATATGGTCTGAAGCTCTTGCTGTTTGTCTGAAGGTCCTTGACAAAATCCAGAGATGAATATGCAATGTGTTTGGTCCTGGTCTGGCATCTCAGCCACTTTCTCACAGACATGCCATCGCTTTCCTCTGTCTTTTCTACAAGTACTTTCATGGTAATGGCTCTAATGAGCTATTTTCGCTGGTTCCCAAACTACATGAATTTAAGCATGTTACAAAGTTGGTATCTCAGTCCCACCCTTTCACTGTCAAAATGATTAAATGTAGCCATCTCTTCAACTCCAATAGCTTCATATCTTACACTTCCCATCTGTGTAACTCCCTTCCTCTTATGAAAAAGTACAAACAAGCTCATCTCAATTATGCCAAAGCTCATATTAAAAAGCTAGACATGTTCTGGCAAAAGCCTTTGTGATCAGATGAGACCAAACTAGAGCTTTTTAGGAGGAACAATACATGGTATATCTGGCAATCTCCTCATACAGCTTCTGAAGAGAAGAATTTGTTGCCAACAGTTAAACATGGTGGTGGCAGCATTATGATTTGGAGGTGCTTTGCTACAGCTGGAACAGGCAAAAGAGTATGCATTGATGGTACAATGAACTCTGCAAGATACTAAGCAATTCTGAATAAAAGTGTCTTGCCTTCAGTTCAAAAGTTGTGTTTAAGTAGGAGTTGGATCTTCTAATAGGACAATGATCTGAAGCAT